ATCTGGTCCGCCGGCGTGCGGATGAGGAAGGACATGCTGCGAGAGTGACAGACGGGGGGTGCGGTCAAGCGGCTCTGTGGTGCCCCATACAGGGAGAAAAATTTCGAGATATCGGTGAGTAGCTATAGGTCATGGCCATGTTCCTGAGACCCAAGCGGGCGTCTGACAAAAACCCTTCAACCTTCCCAACTGCCGCGTTGCTGTGAAGGCTACGGAAGAGGGGCTCCGCCCTCTGGCCGGGTGCGCGAAGGGCATCTCTAACAATGACCACGTTTCGTCATCCTGCACGCACACGTCTGTGTGACACACGCCACGACGGCACTCGGTGCCCATATTCTCGTCTCGATTAAACCCTGGATCGGGCATCTTGCAAGCTAAGGAGAACATGGAAGACGGAGGGAGGAAGCACCAACAAGCCTCCCTGGCGACCCACACGTAAACCCCCTTTACACGCATCAGAACAGACAACGTAGGCGACACATTCCATTGAACAACGCAGGTCGTCGCGCATGCTCCCCATGAATTGGTAACGAGCAATGCATTGTAGGTAGAAAGTGCGAGTCCGTCGGTATCGTCGTGTTCCGACGTGGGAGAGACGGCAACGCGGACTGCAAAATTTCTTCCCCAAAAACCAGGCAGTGCGACCACTTGACAAGGATATAAAAATTATCGTGACGCGCACTTAATCTTTATGACTGTGGTGTGATATTTGTGTGTTTGCGAGATGCTTCTTGACGACGAAATAGCTGCTTTTCGTCTCGTGCTTCCACAGAAAAAAGGGAAGAATTTCAAACTTTTTTCTCAAGGGAGGAGGCACAAAGGCTCAAAATAAGGCCACAAATGTAGGCAATTGCACAATCTTTCTCAGGTGCAAGTGTTTTACAACCAATGACGTGAAGGGGGGCTGTCAACGACCTTGACACCCACTTCGTACGTGAGGTCTGGAAATCCCTCCCTCTGTCGCGCCGTCTCGCCAAAGAGCTGATCTCACCGCGAAATAAACCCTGCACCAAACAAAGCACCCATCCAAAGCAGCACACCACCGTCGACCAGTCATGCCATGCAGCCCCCGGTTCCAAGTCTCCCCAAAGAGTGTTTTACTTCCCCCTTTTCGTTCCACTGCCTTGCTCGCCCCCTTTTCCCCCCGCGACCGTGCCACACCAAACCGATCTTCTAAATAATTTTATTTGCTTTGCATGACCGACTGCGCAAAATGAAAAATTGGGCCCATGGCTACTCGCGGGCCTGGGTGGGGTGGCGAAATGTGGAGAGACGAGGGGCTTTGGAGCGTGGGTGCAAGGAATGAAGATCAGTGGCCATGTTAAAATTTCTTTATGTGCGGTATGGGTGTCGTGTCACGTCCTGCTGGATTACCGGGTGCCAACCACATGTTACATTGACACCACCAAGAAATTGCACTCCACAATCGTGCCACGGGGACGCCGTCGCCCGGGATACCTTTTCGATCCAAGTATCAATGGTTGTCAAGACCTCGATTCCAATGAATAGAGACGTGGTCTTTTGTGGTCGTACAAAACGTGTCGTCCAGGTGGTGACATGCTACGCAGTGCTCGAGCATCCTGGACAGTGACGACGCCCGAGTCGCGGGACGTACTAACGGACCGGGCAAGGCCACTGGGATACGTGCCTGCGCGTAAAGTTATCTCCGCATGGTGGTGGAAGCAGACTTCATCGGAAGATTGTCCCGAAATAAAAGGAAAATCATGGATACTTTTGTGTCAACGACCAAGTGTAGACATTTTTGCACCATTGGATCTTCACTAGTGAAGACACTTAAACGCAGTGCCATGGTAGCCAAGAGGCTTGCCTGCCAACCAGGAGGCTATATTTCAACTTAACATGATCGTGCTTGAAGTCTTTTTTCACCTTAGACTAAACATATGTGTCTGTGAAGCTCGAAATTCGGCGTGTGTGCCTTTGAAGGGCATGGTTTAGCCAGTCGAGTCGTCCTACGGCCTAAGAAAGACACCCATTCCATGATTTATGCTTTCACATAGAGTGTAATGGAAGCACCTTTTCCCCCCACATAGCAAGAATCTTCTTTCAATGATGTGCGAGGGAAATAATCTGTATTTCAACGAGTAGATGGCAAAGGCGCATCACAGCTACCCAATACAACTTGAAAGGAGGACTGTGGGTACATTCTGACTTGGGAATCAGGGATACAGTCCATATCTTTCTGTTGCGTTTGCTTTCCTGTCCATTCATATATTCTTTTATGGGAATGCCGGTACACAGTCCATATTTTTCTCTTGCGTTTGCTTTTCTGTCCATTCCAAGACTTTTCATCACGGACCCATGCTCCCCGGGCCTTTACACATGGCGTACACGAACTACTCGTACGATCAAGCCTCCGTCTTGTCCAATTTATTTATCATACAAACATTGTCAGAGCATTTTTCACCATGCTTTTTCCTGTATTCAGGCATTCATATCCAACCCAAGACGGTCTCTCCCCTCTATTTCGGCATGCCCCCCCAGCGCCGGCACGTCTCGTCCCCGTCTTTTTCTTTCGCCCGACCTGCCTTCACTCCGCCTTCGCATCCCATCCTTCTTCCCCATCCCAGCACTCCTCCCCCCACAGTCACGGCGCCCCTTTTGGCCCACTTCGTGCCCGCCCAGCGGCTGATTACCTCGTCACCACCCCGTTTCCTTCTCCTCCTCCCTCCCCTCCCTTCCCTTCACCCCTTCCACCCGGGCAACAAGACCACCATCATAGTCATGTTGTCGCAGCCCACGCCGTCGCTATCCCCGCCCATCTCCTTGTCGCAACACCGGTCGCAAACCGCCTCGCATACGGCGGAGAGTCGCCCCTCTTCCCCGCCTTCCCGGAGGCCCTTCCGCACCATATCCACCACCTCCTGACTGCTCAACACATTCCAAATACCATCGCATGCCAGCACGAAAAATTCGTCCTCCCCCCTGCGCACGCTTTCAACCCGTACATCCGGGTCGGCGCTGATCATTTGCTTCTCGGCGGGGAGGCCTGCATGTTGTTTGTAGGTCAAGTCCCCAATGGCCCGGGACAAATTCAAATTCCCTTCCACCCGCCCGTCTTCCGACACGCTTCCCCCCGCCTCTTCGATGCGTGCCTTTTCCTCGGCATTTTCCGGCTTGTGGTCGCAAGACAGGTCCACGGCTCTCCCCTGGCGACTCAACACGCACCGGGAATCCCCCGCGTTGGCCACCACCAACCGCCCGCCCATCCTCCCGCCCTCCTTCCCTTCCTCGTAGACCACCACCACGGCCGTGCAGCCCGAATCATAACCTGGACGTTGTCGAAGTACCAAATCTTTCATCCGGTGAAAGTTAATGCTGCGGATCGCTTCCTCCTCCAGCATCATCTCCCCTTCCTCCTCCAGCATCATCTCCCCTTCCTCCTCCTCCTCCTCCTCCTCTTCCTCTTCTTCCTCCTCCTCCTCCTCCTCTTCCTCTTCTTCCTCCTCCTCTTTCAGCAGGGCCGATGTCTCTAAACTGCTGCTGCTACTCGTGCTACTTTCGCCACATGAGGCCGTGACGGAGGCGTTCGCCACTTTGGCTGTCTCAGGGGGAGGGCCTGAGGACCCCTCTGCCGCTCGCTTCTTACTCCTCATCCCTCCAGCCAGGTCAAATACCTCCTCTCCCCCCTTGCTATCCCCGATCGACGCACATTCCTCCACACACATCCCTGTTTCCATGACTTCCCCTCCTTCTTCCCCCCTCCGACGCTTTTTCCTCCCTGCCGCCCCCACCGCGGGCGATGCCCGCTTCTCTTCCTCTCCCTGCTCCTCCATCCCCTCCTCATTCGATAGGGCCACCCCCCCTTCTTCCTCCTCTTCGACTACAACCACCCCTTCCTCGACCTCCTCCTC